TTCGTTATACTAAAAAGTATGCCATATAGCTTTCCTATACTAAAAAGTATACCTTATACCTTCCTTATACTAAAAGGTATAACTCATACCTTTCTTATAGTAAAAAAATTATACTTTATACCGTACTTACACTAAAAAGTATACCTTATACATTCCTTATACTAAAAAGTATATATTATACCATTTCATACTAAAAACCTATACCTTATACCTTCCCTATGCTAAAAAGTATACATTATACCTTCCTTATACTAAAGAGTATACCTTATATCTTTCTTATACTAAAAAGGATACGCTTATAACGTACTTATACTAAAAAGTATACCTTATACGTTCCTTATACTAAAATTATACCTTATACCTTCCTTATACTATAAAGTATACATTATAAGTTCCTCATAACAAAAGTATATCGTGTATATTTCTCATACTCAAAAATATATCTTATGCACTCCTTATAGTAAAATTTATTCCTTATACTTTATAGCATACTTATACTAAAAACCGTTCCTTATACCTTCTTTACACTAAAAGGTATACGTTTTACCTTATGCCATCCTTATACCAAAAAGTATACCTTATGCATTCCTTATACTAAAAGGTATACATTATACCTTCCTCATAGTAAAAAAATGTACCAAACATATGTGACTTATACTAAAAGGTGTACCATATACCTTATACCTTCCTTATACTAAAAAGTATACCTTATACATTATACCTAACTTTTACTAAAATGTATACCATATACCTTCCTTATACTAAAAGGTATGCCTCATACCTTATACCTTCCCTATAGTAAGAAGTATAACTTCATTTCTTCCTTATACTAAATAGTACAACTTATACCTTATACTTTCCTTATATTGAAAAGTATACCTTATACATTGTACGTTCATTATATTGAAAAGTATACCTCATACCTTCCTTATACTAAAAATTATGCTTTATAACTTTTTGTTACTGAAATGATATCTTATACCATCCTTACACTAAAAAGTATGGCTTATAACCTTCCTATACTTGAAAGAACAACTTATAACGTCCTTATACTAAAAAGTATACCTCATACGTTCCTTAAGCTAAAAAGTATATCTTATAACTTACATCTTCCTTATGCTAAAAATTATGCCTTATACCTTCCTTCAGTATACTTCATATGTATTTTTCTTATACTAAACATATACTTTCTACTTTCGTTATACTAAAAAGTATACGTTATACCTTCCTTATACCTTTTAGTATAAGAATGATATAAGGTATGCTTTTTAGTATAAGGAAGGTATACTTTTTGGTGTAAAGAAAGTATATCGTATACGTTTTAGTGTAATAAAGATATAAAGTATACTTTTTACTATACGGTATGAGTCATACATTTTAGTATAAGGAAGGTATAAGGTATATTTTTTTAGTATAAGGAAGGTGTAAAGTATACTGTTTAGTATAACGAAGATTTAATGCATACTTTTTAGTTTCAGGAATGTATAAGGCATACGAAATTCCTTATACTAAGAAGTATATCTTTATCTTCCTCACACTAAAAAGTATACCTTATATATTATACGTCCTCACAGTCAATATACTAAAATGATACCTTATCCCTTCCTTATACTAAAATGTATGCCTCATACCGTATAGTAAAAAGTATACTTTATATCTTTATTACACTAAAACGTATATGATATACTTTCTTTACACCAGAAAGTATACCTTATACCTAACTTATACTAAAAAGTACACCTTATATCTTATATCTTCCTTATTGTAACAAGCATACACTATACTTTCCTTACACTAAAATGTATAACTTATACTATAGTATACCTTCTTTACACTGAAATTATACATATCACTTCCATATACTGAAAGGTATACCTTATACCTTCCTTATGCTTGAAAGTATAACTTATATATTCCTTATACTGAAAAGTATACCTGAAACATTCCTTATACAGAAAGGTATATATTATACATCACTTATACTAAATTATATAACTTATACCTTCTTTATACCAAAAATTATACTTTATACCTTCCTTGTGCTAAACGGTATACATTGTACCTTATAGATACATAATACTAAAAAGTATGTATTATACTTTCGTTACCCTACAAAATATACATTATACCTTCCTTATATAAAAAGTATATATTATAACTTCATTATACTAAATAGTATACCTTATATCTTCCTTATACGCCAATGTATACCTTATACCTTCCTTATACTTAAATATATACCATATACCTTCCCTATACTAAAAAGGATATCTTATAACTTCCTTATACTAAATTGTATACCTTCCGTACATGAAATAGTATACTTAATAACTTCCTCATACACATAATTATACCTTATACCTGCTTTTATTCTAAAAAAATGCCTTATACTTTCCTTACACAAAAATAACTTATACCTTCCTTATACTCAAATGTATACCTTATACCTTCATTATACTAAAAAGTATACCTTATACCTTTCCCATACTAAAGTATACCATATACCTGCCTTATACTAAAAATGGTACCTTTTACCTTACTTATACTACAAATTATACCGTATACATTCCTTATACTAAAAAGTAAAACTTATACCGTCCTTATACTAAAATGTATACCTTATACCTTCCTCATCCTTGGTATGACGATAAACTACATCCGCGTCCAGGGTAAGACGATAAACTACGTCCAACAGCAAGGCCTTTGATCAGCGTGGAACCACCTCTTAATTGCTGGTGTTCCCAGGTCCACCCTGACCCGAGGTGGTAGCACCTGTTAGAGTCTCAGCTATGGGCAAATAGTTAATATTCAGACTACATCCGCGTCCTGGGTATGACGATAAACTACACCCGCGTCCTGGATAAGACGATAAACTACGTCCAACAGCAAGGCCTCTGATAATACATTTTTGAAAAAATAATGTTGCCAGCTGTACGTTTTTGAAAAAATAATATTACCAGCTGTACGTTTTTTTTTTTTTTCAGTATAGTGTTGCCGGCTATACGTTTTTCGAAAAATAGTATTACCAGCGATATGTTTTTGAAAGAATAATGTTGCCCGCTGTGCGTTTTTGAAAAAATGATATTACCAGCTATATGTTTTTGAGGAAAAAATATTAACGGAAATAGATTTTTGACAAAACAAAAATATTACCAAAAAAAAAAAAAAGTTGTCGGAATTAAATGACCCATTGAAGTTGATATGCCGTAAAACTAAACAAGCCAAACTTATACCTTCCGTACATGAAATAGTATACCTTCCTTATACCAATAATTATACTTTATACCTTCTTTATACTGAAAATATACCTTATACTTTCCTTATACAAAAATATACCTTATACCTTCCTTATACTAAAAAGGATACCTTATTCTTTCCTTATAGTAAAAAGTATCCCTTATACCTACCCTTCATTAAAAGTATACCTTATACATTCCTTCAATTAAAAAGTATAACGTATACATTCCTTCTATTAAAAAGTATGCCTTATAACTCTCTTACGATAAGAATCATACCTTATTCCTTTTTAGCTAATTTATATTAAAAATTACATTTAAAAAAAGTTAATTCTGCAGATGCGAGATCCAATTAAATCCTAGTATCAAGGATTAATTTGAGTTATTTTACGACATATTTGATGGTTATTTAATATCAAAATCAGTCTTTTTTTTTTTAAATATATTTAAGTGTATAAGAATTTACCTTTCGGTTTCAAACAGGCACGATGATTATTACTTTTTTTTTTGGTGAAAAATCCACCATTATTCAAAAAACCCTTTTACTTAATTGCCAGGATATTTCCTCATAATTTAGACTGCGTGTATTCTAGGACAAAGCGTTACATTTTTGAAAATTATTTATTAAAAAAGTAAATTCAGCCATCTATTTTATTCTAACCACACATAACATTTCCCGTTACTCAAAATAATTTTTATTATTGTATTTAAATCTGGGGACTATAAAATAATTTTCTAGAGATGGTAGTCACTCTGTAGGGATCGAACTCGGCTAGCATTGATATGCAAGTCGCCTATATGTTTCTTAATCTGGTCTTAGATAGCACAGTACAATAATATTGTAGCACTCTGTTAATTTACTCTACGATCAAATCGCCTGTTATAAGATTTTGCTAAATGCCTCACTATGGTAGGCGTCGTACTGGCAGATACGAATATGATCGTTGGTCGAAGTGTTTTGCGGCTGAATATAAAAAGTAATGTACTTGGAATGGGAAATCTGAGAGCAGAGTTCGAATTCCAGTCGAGTTCGTTACATTCACTTATGCGCGAATACCTATGGGAAAGATATGAATCAATCATATCTCCTTGTAGCTATGGGTTCAATAATATGACAGACTGGGTCATATAGTCTTGGGTGGCAACCAGTTTATCGCAAAAAGAAACGGCCGCCTATTGCGGAACCATCTTCTGTCTAATCATTCATGAATTGAAAGAGACATGATAGCCCAAGTGTGTATCACGTATGGCCCTTAATTAACTCGCTGAATGAAATCTAACATCATAGTTTTTTTTTATAAGCTTAAAAACTGTACGAGTTTGTTTTCTTTTAGAGTTTCTACAAGTTTCGTTTGATAATCTTAGCTTATTACGGCACAAGGTCAATTATGAAGTGTGTGTTTTAATCATTTTCAAGTTGCTGAAGGCCTGCATGCTTTGAAATGATTTATTTGTTTTTAGGGCTTGACCCTTTGCAGGTTATTTAAAGTCAGAAAATATTTTTAGATTGTGGGAATTTTTTGATTTCCTGATAGAAGTCGTACTAATTAATCCATAGCTGGGAGAGAAGAAGTGGATTCATAGCTTTCCCAAGGGTATTTGCATGTAAGTCAATATAATGAACTTGACTGGAATTCGAACTCGACACTCCTATTTCCCATTCCGAGTTCATTACTTTTTATTTACAGTCGTAAATGAATATAACGAACCTAATTGGATTTACAATTCCGAGCTATAATCCATTACACCACCCGCACTTCCAAGCTTACAACACCTGGTATTCCCAAGCGGTTACCCATCTCGGTACTGACCATACTTGACATTACTTAACTTCAATGATCGTATGAGAACCGGTGTTTCAATGTGATATGGCTGTAAGCCACGCATACTTCGAAAATTCAATCAGTTATGTGCCATGCGTGATATACGCTTAGGCGATCATGTATCGTTCGATACATGACTGACGAGGCAGATTTTTGTTCCCGCAGTAGGTTGCCATATCTTTCTGCGGTAGACCAGTTGCCATCCAAGGCTATAGAACCGGGTCTGTCCTGCTATTTACCGATAGCTAAGGGAGGAGTGGGGGTGGGGGAGAGGATTCATAGCTTTCCCAAGGGTATTTAGCACTTACGCAAATTCTTTAACAAAGGGGCTGAATTTCGAACTCTGGCGCCAGTATATAACTGTCATAATCAAGAGGCATGGCCTATGTCTTGATGTTCACTAAACTTTGCCGGTTTGAGGAATTGATGAGTTGCCGTAAGATTGTGTTGCGCCAATCATTTAAGTTACGAGGACTTGTGTGCTGAAAGATCAACCTTCGAAATTCTGATTTTTTTTTGGCGCCGGAAAAGAAATGCCCAACTATTTCAGTTACGAGGCAGATTACTTTACGTTCATGCCGCTGCGTATTTTTTGCCGAACAGTATATTATCCCCCCCTCCCCCACTGAAATGTAAATTGCTTTTTCATATTATTTATTACAACTTTAATCAATCATTTTCAACAGCTGGTAATATTATAATTAAAACAATAAAAAAAAGTTACAACGGCATTAAGATATGGAAGCTTTGTTTCTTAAAGTATCTCATTGATAATAGAAAATTCTTTATTGAGCAGTCAAACTAAAGACATATGATTATGCTGGGTGAAATAGACAAATGAATAGATAAAAAAAAACATTTACTAAAAAGCAAAGCATGAAATAACTGATATTTGAAATGAATTCTTTTAACGTCTCCATTTGCAGACGGATAAATGTCCTTCTATTCTTTGCTTGTGGATTACGGCTATGCCACATTGAAATACCGATTCTTATCCGATAACCGAGGTAAAGCAACATCGAGCCTGGTCAGTACCGTTTGGGAATACCAGATGCCGTAAACTTGGATATGCAGGTGATGTTATGGATAACGGCACGGAATTGAAAATCGGAGAGTCAAGTTCCAATTCCAGCCGGATTCGTTATATTCACTTGCGCACAAATACCTTTGGGAAACCTGTGAATTCACCTTTTCACCCTGCTCCTAGCTATAAATTACTTAACAGGACTTGTATCAGTAAATCTTTATTTCCAAAAAATCTGACAATCTGAAAATATTTTCTGGTTTTAAATAACTCGCAAATGTTGATAAGCCGTCAACAACAAATCAGTTGATCAACTCGTTCTTAGTGCCACAACGGAATTTCAGATCGAACACTTAAATAGTGACACATGCTTGAATATCGTATTATTATCTTTCATATATATATATATATATATATATATATATATATATGTGTGTGTGCGTATGTATATACATATATATATATATATATTTATATTTATATATATATATATATGTATATATATTTATGTATATATATGTATATATATATATTTATGTATATATATGTATATATATGTATGTATATATATATATATATATGTATGTATATATATATATATATATGTATATATATGTATATATAGATGTATGTATATATATGTATATATAGATGTATGTATATATATGTATATATAGATGTATGTATATATATATATATATATATATATATATATATATATATATGTATGTTGTATATTTATGCAGCAATCCTCCCTTTATGTATGTTTCATTAAAAACGACAGACAAGATACTACGGTTAAGCTTTTTATTTAATTTTTCTTGTGTTCGAACAAGAACTTTCTCTTCTGGACAAAGGATGTGTAAAAACTGTCCAAATGTTTTATATTTCCGAGCGGTTTCGGCTATACCTTTAGCAATTATCAAGGATGATTCGATTTTACAGCTTAATTGAGTGTGTGCGTTCTGTTTATGCCTTAGTGCGTGGTAGGGATGTTTTAATTTCCGAAATTAAAAACATCCCTACCACACACTAAGACATACACTCAAGTAAGCTGAAAAATCGAACCATCCTTGATAATGGCTAAATGTATAGCCGAAAGTGCTCGGAAATATAAAACATTTGGACAGTTCTTATACACCCTTTGTCCAGAAAAGAAAGCTCTTGTTTGAACACAAGAAAATTTAATAAAAGCTTAACCGTAGTACCTTCTCTGTCGTTTTTAATGAAAAATATATATATATATATATATATATATATATATATATATATATATATATATATATATATATAAAGACATGTCTCATTGAATAATTTAGACAAATTTTGTCTACTTATTTTCAGTAGGATCCTCTCATATTCACGGCCACGTTTCTTAGTATCCTTATTAAGGAAGAGAGAAAATTACCATGTTGATACATATTTATTTATTCCGAGTACTTTCGGTTGAGTTTTCATTTGAATGATGCATCAAACATATCACAGCATTTACAACAGCATGCCTGTCCACATTAGCAAATTCTTGTTGAAAATACATCTATACTTCTTCATGAAAATAATGAGAATTAACTAAAAATTCTTGAAGCTATCTATATTAAAAAATTGAAACCAACCTTAAACAAAATTAATTATGAATATTGCACAAATGATTTAAAATGTTAACAGTAGATAGTTTAAATGTCTAGGTTTTAACAAATATATTTTTTAAACATATAGACATTTCAAATTTTGTTACCTCCCCTGAGGTTTCAAACGTGAAATTTAAGCCGTACAGTACATAATCTTAGCGTTTTTCACTTCATAGTTAAAAAAATTAACTTTCAGATGAACATAAAAATTTTGTCTTAGGAAAATGAAAACCACCCTGATGATGACATTGTGCTAATGTCGAAAGTACATGGAATAGATGAATATGTATCAACACGGTAGTTTTCTCTCTTCCTTTAATAGGGATACTAAGAAGAATGTCTGTGAATATGAGAGGATCCTATCGAAAATAGTCAAAACTTGTCTAAATTATTCAATGAGACATGTCTTAATAAAAACATGCTTTAGAATGTTGCTACATTCGTTTTCAAGAGTTGTGCATTGTGTATATTTACTTGTTTGTTGGAACCAATTTCAAGTCACTCAAAATGACGTCATTTAAGCGGTCAAAGTAGAATTTTATGTGCATTCCAATTTGACCTTGTTATTTAATGTCAAACTTTGAATTGGACGCACACTGAGGAATGAACTCACTACTCAGTAGTAATGATCATTTCGACTAGCTTAGCTAATCATTACCCTACGACGAGGTGCATTCTTTCTGATTCTTAACGTGATTTTATAAGGGTACCTTAGATGTGGCATAAGATCGACGGTATGGAGGCATACAATCAGGAACGAACCAGTTACTCCATTCTGATTCTTATGACAAGTTTATTTATAGCTCCTCTTCTTAGAACTTATTCGTTTCTCAAATGTTCTGTCCACGACATTCTCCACATTCGTCGATAAAAAAAAACAACAAAAAAAAAAAACAAAACAAAACATTTCTCTTTGGCATCAAATCGATTTGTATTTGCGGCGAAGTTGTTTAATTTTTACTGCCATATAGAAGGACAGACATCACATAACAACAGCCTGGCACTATTTTTTTGTTTCTAATATTATTTTTCGACCCCTTTAGTAGCTTTCTTTGAATAGTGAAATATTTTTATTAGGCAAAATCTTTTTTACAGTGCAAGTTTAACTTTATTATTTACACTTATAAGAGCCATTTTTATTTAAGGAAATTATTCTGAGAATTAAACTCAGCATTTGTATCATTGCAATTTTTCCTACAATAGCATGTTGACATTTTGAAAAGGAAGTAGAATGTATGAACCGAAACTTTAATAAATAACACAATGATGAATAAATTCAACTGTCCGAATATCTCTTCTAATAAATTAAAATTTAATTATTAAATTAGCAATCCCTTATAGTATTCTAGATAATATACACATCTGACACAAAGTATTATCTCCTTCGATATAATACACCAACTTTTTATTAGAGTAGAGTTATCTCCTTTACATGGGTAACGTCTGTGGAAAAATATATTTTTTAAAACGTATATAAAAATCTTCTTATAAGAGTAAAATAAAATATGCCTTCATTTTGACGGCATGGGTAGATAGTCGTTTTTAAAAATACAATTTAATAATAATAATAGGAATAAAAATAGCATAAAATCCAAATTTATATATGCGACAAATAGAACCTTCTTTTAAATTAAAATTATTAAATTATATAGATCTTATATTATTTAACATCCTTCAGGTTTTGTTACCTGGTATAATTAAAAAAATTAATTAAAGAAAACGCCAGAAACAAATAAACCCGGTAAAAATTTTTTTGACTCAAATGTAACACATTTTAAATTAAAATTATTGAATCTTATATAATACTAGCAGTAGAGCCCGGCGTTGCCTGGGAGGATGTAACAGTATGAGATAGATCAAGTATCGACAATCATAAAGACTGAAAAATAAAATTGACAAAGATTATTGTTTAAGGTTGACGGACACGCATGTCTTAATTAGATTTCTTTTTGTTTTTTTACGAATTGGTCAAACCCAAACTCAAACAAAAACATTGTTTTCAATCGTTATGAGTCTATCGATTGAATAGAATTTTATTATAAACAATTGTCTTGTAAATGAAATTTTTAAAGCATTCTGAATGTAAAAATAAAGTAAAAAGTGTGCAAGACAATAAGAAACACTACCTGCCAAAAAAAAGTGAATACTTGTTGAAATCGGTTGAAAAATGTAGGAAATCCGATCCCATATATAAACGAACACACACACACACACACACACACACACACACACACACACACACACACACACACAACCTGGGTTTTATGATAAGTATAACTCGATATGAGTTGTCCCCTTTCATTTTCCCGATGCCTCTTAATCGTGTTTTTCAAATTGATTTCGTCAAAAAACAATTGTGTTTTTCAATTTTGGCGCTGTCAGAACCACCGCAAGGTAATTTTA